TGAATAGTTATTACAGAAACTCTGATTTTCCTTTTGGCAGACATTTACAAATAATAAAAAAAAATGTATGTAAATTTCTTAAAAACAAAAATATGCTTAAAGATCTATAAACAAATATTAATAACAGATTCTTTTTACATTAAATTTATATTAAAAAATTTTATTAAAAAAAATTGTGAAATAATCTTTCCACTCATTTTAATAAAGGTTGTGAAAAAGTACTAATTAATTTCCAAAAAAATCACAATTTTATTCATAGTATATAATTGATCAATTTGTAACTTATTACATCAAAGCATAACAATAAATTATTATACACTTCACAAACATTATCTGACGTCACTTAATCTGACTATTAATAAAAGTATGATAATAATAACCAAAAAAAGAATCACTTCTTGCTTATCATTTTAAATAATTCTATAGCAAACGTGGAGTAAAATGGATGGATGTTATCTTAAATATATATATAATATGCATATATTTCAGTAATAGAAGTATAAAATATATATAATTAATTTTATATTTAATATTTATACAAATACACAAAATAAAAAAAAAAAATTTTTTTAAATTAATAACACGCAATAAGGCGCATATTCTTAATTCCAGCTTTTTAGCCAAATAAAAATTTACCTGCAGGTGGGTGTCCAGCAACAAGATTGGGTTGTTCATCAGCCATTTTTAATAGATTTTATTAAATACTAATCATTTAAAATTTAAAAAAAAAACAATTATATTAAATTAAATCAGAATATAATTTAAAAAAAAATATCCAATTACCTATTATTACGGTTCCTGTTAACTTTACTTAAAACTCTAAAATTAAGCAACTTATTCTCTGTATTTGGTTGACACGACTGCACTTTTGTTTCACTTTTCTCTTCGCACCTAAACTAATTTTTTTATTTTGCTTTTATGTTGTTCTATCAATGATTTTTAGTTGTTTCATATTTTTTATTGTTTTGTTTTAATCAGTTTTCCGGTTACGACGCAAATAAGAAGTATGAATAACAACAGAATAGCTAAAACTTTTTAATTTTTAAGCTTTTTCAATACTTTCTTAAATAACGTTGCCAGACTATTACAAAAACATCATGAAAATTTTATTAAGGTCCATAATAATGAAATAACTTGAATTATTAGCACATACAAATACTTCTTTAATAAATTTATTGTAGATTAATTTAATATTATTTATTTATTACTATTTATTACTTTATTATTGTATAAAATTAGACTACAAATTCATTAACAAGCCAGAAATGAAGTTCTCTCCTCTAATCCAACTCTACTATCGTCTAACCATGACCTTGTATAGAGATTCTTAATCAGTAATTACTACCTGTGCCAAAAACATTGTCCCTTCCTCCCATCGCTTGTTTTGCATTTTGGCATAGATATTTTAATTGTCTAAATATTAATCATTTCAATGTCTGTCTTTCTCTTGATTACTGGAATAGAGTTTTAGCTTTTTATCAGATGATTTATTTATAAACTCATTTTTGCTTTTTGTATCGTAAATTAACAATCTTAATGAGCAAAACTGTGTAAACGAAGCAAGTGTAAACTGGTATTACAGTCCAATTTGTGAAATATGTCCGTATTGTTTACCTAACAAGTGGTTTTACTGGATTCAAGTCTCACATTGTGGCTTAAGATACTTTCCACCTACCAAAAACAAAAGTAACTATATTACTTTCTATAATTATAACTAAATTTTTAAGTTTGCTTTAATAAATATACAGCTATTTCGATTTACTTCATAGATCAACTTCGTAGAAAATGACGTCAAAAATATTTAACATTATTATACATTAATTATAAATTATAAGTGTTAAATGCACGACTTAATGAAAATCAACTCGATGAAAATCAAACAACTTATTGTAAATTGGTCGTAATTACAATTAATTATTAATAATTAAATTTATGCAAGCTTCATTTCAAGATTTCAAAATACATGACTAATCGCAACAATAATTAAATTACTAATTTAATAATAAAAAATCATGATTAATATATGGAACTACTTTTAGATATATACTCTTATGTTCTGCGGTCAAAAACAAAATTCAGTTTACTTTAATTTGATTGATTATTCTAATTTAAAATTAAAACTACAGAAAGAAAGGAACTTTTAATTAGTACAGAAAATATTTATAATATTTTTCCAATTATTATATTATATGTAGTTAAATTTAGACAAACTATAAAAAAATTTTGCATTTAAGATACGACTCGCTGCTAAAATGTTTGTTTATTAAATTACAATAAATTAAATTAAGTAAAATTAATATAATTATATTAAAATAGAAAGCAATTTTTGGCTACCAGAGAATTTTTTAGATTTTCATAAAAAATTATACCGGCAAAAAACAATGCAAGAGACAACAAAATAGAACAAAGCAAAAACAATTTTATTGTTGCGGTTAAGTTACTAACGAATATCAGTAAAAGAGAATTGATAAAATCTTCAAAGTGACATGCAAAAAACAAGAATTTTGTAATTCATGCTTGTTAATTAAAATTAATTTAATTCATCAATAAGAACTCGCCTATTTTTTAATTCGATTGAAGAAATATTATTTGAATATAATGAAAAATACACAGGTAAAAACCAAAGACGAGTCAAAAAATAAAAAAGCAAGCATTTGGTGAATTGAAATGAATTACTTACATCACGAACTTTGAATGAAAAATGGATATTTTCTGTAAATTACACTTGTTTATATTGAGCAATATTTTTATCTTTGAATATTCTACATGTACCAAAGTACATTTCAATTTTTAAACGTGTACATAGAAGATATTGAAAGCGATACATTCATTTCAGGATTTTCCACCGCTTAAGAATGACAATCTTTTGCGAGCTGCACGTGGAGAACCTGTTGATCGTGTCCCAGTATGGGTCATGCGACAAGCTGGAAGATATCTGCCAGAGTTTCAAGAAGTACGTAAACAACATGATTTCTTCACAGTTTGTCGCACACCGGAGCTAGCATGCGAAGTGACAATGCAACCACTGCGACGTTTCGATTTGGATGCTTCAATTATATTTTCCGATATACTTGTAATACCGCAAGCATTTGGAATGACTGTTGAAATGCATGCTGGAGTGGTACGTGTAATAAGTTAAATAAATTTTATTTTGTATATTTTAACTGATATTACCACAGGGTCCAGTTTTTCCTGAACCGTTACAAACTCCAGCAGATTTAAGTAAATTAAAACCCGAAGGTGCCGTAGATCGATTGAGTTATGTAGGGGATGCAATAACTATGATGAGACATTTACTAGATGGTCGTGTACCATTGATAGGATTTACTGGTGCTCCTGTATGCTTAAAATATTTAAATTATAAATTTATTTTTGATAATTATTGTATATTAATTTCATATTAATAGTGGACTTTAATGGGTTATATGATTGAAGGTGGCGGTAGTAAAACAATGTCTAAAGCAAAAGCTTGGCTAACAGATTATCCAGAAGATACAAAAAAACTTCTTACCATGTTGACAACTGCTATTGTGGATTATTTAGAAATGCAAGTGAAAGCAGGTGCACAGCTTTTACAAGTATTTGAGTCGTCAGCAGAACATTTAACAAAGGAAGATTTTCTTAATATAGCTGTGCCTTATATAAAAGATATACATGATAAATTAACGCAACGCTTAACAAGTCAATCCATACCGTTAGTGCCTATGGTATATAAATGTATACAAAATATGTTAAATATTTTATTATAAGCATTTTTTTTATAGACATTGTTTGCTAAAGGAGCGGGACATTCTTTAAAAGAACAAGCTGCACTTGGTTACGATATTATAGGTCTAGACTGGACAGTAGATCCTGAAGAAGCACGTAAAGAAGTAGGACCTAATATAACATTACAAGGCAATCTTGATCCTCAAGATATGTACAAGACGCCGGAAGAAATACGCAGTTTGGTAACGGATATGGTACGTAAATTTGGCAAGACACGTTACATAGCAAATCTTGGTCATGGTATTACACCTCAAACACCAATTGTTAGCATGGAAGTTTTAGTTGATGCAGTACACAAAGCGTTGTAGTTGAAATAAAATCTTTTATTGGTATACTGGTATTTTAAATAAAATGATCGACTGTTTAATAAAATGTGTTTTTCTGGTACGTTAGGTAGTCATAACTGTAGAGATATGTATAAATAAAATTATCATAATTAAAATTTTTTAAATTTTGAATTATAGTTTTTTCAAGAATAAATAATACAAAAGAAAATATTTCCTTCATATTCATTACTGCTTAATGCTGAATAATTAAATATAAATGAAAATATAGAGGTGGCATTATGTTTTGTTAATTGATCGTTTATCATATTTCCTTTATTTAGATATATCTTCATACTTTATATGTATAAGATATATATCGTATACTTCCTAATTTAGCAATATAACTTTTCAATGAAAAGCAGCTATATTAATATCACATATTTAGTTTGATTAAATATTAACTCCTTTTACTTAATCGCTAAGTTTCATTTAGGAATAAAATATCTCAAATTGAAATTGCTAAATGCTTCGACGAAATTATTGTTCTCCCATTATATCACTGAATTAACTGTTGCTCATTTCTAAGTTTATCATATAGCACTATAGAGCTACCTAAACATACTAGAACAGTACCAATTACAACTTCTGCAATTAAAAATTAGTATTAATTAAAAATAATAAATTTAAAGTGTCAAAATAAAACGTACTTCTGCCTGGTATCTTTTCACCTAACAAATAACCAGTAATTGCTGTAAAAACGAAACTCAGTGAATTTGCTACTGGAACTGCTGCAGTTATGCTAGTGTCCTGTAATGTGTACACATATAATACGCTGCCGGCTTGATTAAGAAGGAACGGGACCCAGTATTTCAAACGCGTACTTATCATTCTTAACTCTAGCAATAAATTTTTCCATTTCGATCCGGTATTAATTTGTTCAATGCCTTGACTGCCCAAACGTATGAATGGATTTGTGGCACCCCATAAGAGACCAACAATTACCAAAAACACTAAATAATGATTATAAATTAGAAATATTTTGTTTATTTACAAAAAAGTTTTGCTTACAAATATTTAACATCTTTTTGTTTTGGTTTGTTAAATTTTGTTCTATGAACATTTATGTTGGCAACTCCAATTGAATTTTTATTGAAATGTTATTGCCAACCAAACAAATTAATAATGTATGCATTAAGACTTGTTCACATGGCCAAATTTTATGCAAAACTGTTGTGGAAGAAGTCTAAGATATAAGACAAATCAACTAAATTAAGTAAAAACGAATAGACATAAATCGATGTAAACGTAATTTTATTAGATAGACTCGATTTGCTAAAAAAATGTGCATACAACATATCATAATTTTATGATATATGATATGTTTAGTTTGAACGTATTATTCATTATATCGCAGCAAAATCGTTTTATTATGGATTAGGAATTTAATTTCAACTGGACTTTGTACAAATTACAAGACAGTCGTAGTTTTGGTTATGGAAAATCGAACGAACAAAATCACCATGAATTGTACTGTATGAAGAGATTACTTCATAGTAGCAATACGCAGCAATAAATACTATTGAAAAACATGTCTTATCTTATATTTTATAAACAAATATGTTTATTGTTATATTAATAAGACGTTGAACAAGAGTTTTTTATTTATAAACTTAAATATAAGTTTTGTTATTAATTAATTTCGTTAACTTTACTATTTCGAAAACAAGGATAAAATTATTTTAAATATAATTTGCAATACAGAATTCATACAAAAATTCATTTTTAACTTGACCGAACATCGAGAAAATCTGATATTTTTTATATACCGAAAAATTGTTATATAATTTAAATGTTATTTTCTCGAGAATATAATGAATAATAAAAAAAGCTGTCAATATTTAATAAATTTTCTCACATAGATGGCGCCTTAAGTTTGTTAAGAAAATGATACGAAGATGGCGTAAATATTTGACAGCTCACGTCAACCTCTTTTACGTCAGGCTTTCATTTCCGATAGGTTGGATTTCTTAAATATTATTTTATAAAATCTTAAAACATCACAGAATTTCCATTATATTGAATATAAAGTTGTTAAGTTTTATTTACTTAAAAGAATGCTCACTAATTTTATACTAAAATTTCTATCTGTAACTCTGAGCAAGTGTTGTGTTTTTAGTTTGCGAATATTGGGTAGATATACATGTAAAGAGAGCATAGTGGAAATTTTGTTTTAAATAACTTATTGTTTTAAGTTTTATCTATATAATTGTTAATTTTGTGTTATTTTTATTTCAGGATATTGAATAGCAGAACTGCAATTGAAAATTAAAGAAAATGGCCAAAACAAAGGGAGAAAAACGTAATAAGTCTGCTATCAATGAGGTAGTGACCCGCGAATGTACAATTCACTTGGCAAAGCGTGTCCACAATATTGGCTTCAAAAAGAGGGCACCACGCGCCATTAAGGAAATTCGTAAATTTGCTGAAAAAGAAATGGGCACAACTGATGTCAGAATTGATACTCGCCTAAACAAGCACATTTGGTCCAAGGGTATTCGGTAAGTTAAAATATATTTTGTTAATATTATGTATTTTGCTTAGATGGTAATTATTTTTCTTGTTTGTCTTTAGCTCTACACCATTCCGTGTACGTGTACGTTTGGCCCGCAGGAGAAACGACGATGAGGATTCACCTAACAAATTGTACACCTTGGTAACATATGTACCAGTTGCTTCATTCAAAACTCTGCAAACTGAAAATGTTGAATCCAGCGATGATTAAACATCGTGAATGTTTAGGATTTAATTAATTTTTAATAAAAATTACACTTTAATTGGAAAGTAAATTACAGTTTTCTTAAATAGTGTTAAAGTGCTGTGTGTATGTGAGTAGTTTGTGCCAGAAACACTTTTCTTATGGATGTATTTAATAACAAATACTTTAAAAAGTTTCTGTCCACGTTTAAACCATCTGTGATTGTTCAAAATACTTAATAATCTGAGGAGAAACAAATGTAGCTTTAAAGTTCTTCTTGAAAATTTTATTTTTTATTTTGAAATTGGAATCAAATAAGTAATGCTAACAATTAAAATTCGGGTGGATTTATACTAATTGAAATCAAGTTAACTAAAGAATACTAACCATATATAACAATTCTCCTTATTCTCTTACTATTATTGTATGTGTTCCCTAGTGTATCGATCTATAGCCATTGCCCTTTTGTGGGTAATATTTTGTTTCTTTCCAGAATATAATCGAACAAAATGAGTATAGATTTGTATTTTAGACTGTGACTGGTTGAATTATGTATAGGTTATATATTTTACTGGACTCCATTAAAAAATTGATAGTTAATAATAGAATTCAGCGTTTATTAATTTGTTGGTGTTAATAAATTAGAGTTGAATTATAATCAGCTTCCTAATGAGATAACTACATATAGAATATTTAATAGTCAGTGTAATACGTTTGGAAAATAATATTCCAGATATATTAAATAATATTACAGATATTTTAATATATTATAGACTTCGTAAACACAATGATCTGTTGTTTACTTTTATTAATTTGTAATACAAAAGTGTTCTACGGATGATTAAAGCTACTATAGGATCCAATTGTATCTAAACACCATGGCATTTCATTAAAATTTATTTAGTAGATTGTGTAAAATTTGGATTTGCATCAGTTGGTAGAACTTCCTTCCTTGTAAACTTGATATTTAGGCAGAAGTGGTGAGCGGAAATTTGTTGTCAATATTCATCTCTGACTTCGAAACTCAGAACTGTTTTTTGGACCTAAATATATGAATCGTTTAACTTGTTCCAGTTAAAGCTTTCAATAAGAATATAAGTTCTTCAGTTTTACCAACCCTTTAATACGAATCACAATATAAATTAGAAATATTCCGGCATGATACGGTAATTTTTCAAAAACTTAACTATTTCTAATATTAAGAAAGTAAATTAAATTAATTATTATTATTAATTGAGTTGAGTGACTTGAATAGTCTTAACTGGAGTTATAATAAATTTCAAAATTTATTTACAATTTGATATATTTACATTATGAATTATAAATAATATGAATTATTTATATACTACATAAAATATTTACAAATAAAGTATATACATAATTAAAGAATTCCAAACTTTGCTTCAATAATAGTTATATCATCTTTCCCGTATAATGCGATGAGATATTTCGGATCCAACGTAAATTGAATATTTTGCAGCTGTTTGGCTGGGTTTAACGTGTAAACACCAAGTACCGTCTTAAAACCAACGTCAACTTTATGTTGGTAAGCTATTAATGTTGGATTTGTAGCATTTCTAAGTACATATAAGATGAAATCATTCGATTCTTTGTTGTTCGAGAATAAAATTTGTTGTGGTTCCACACAATTTAACGATTGTAAATCAACAAAATTTGAACCATTGAATGATCTTAATTGGAAAATAATTTTTAGTGACAAAAATAAAAATACTACTAATGAATACTCACTTAAAAATGTTAATGGTACCTTCTCGTGAAGTGTTTGTTGTGTGTGGTTCTATAGCAGCTAAATAAAGCACATTATTGTGGGTGTCTTTTACAATTTGTTGTGAATTCATGACAGATATGTTTTGTATTAGGATCATGTCATCTTTAACGCTCCAAATTTCTATAGTCTCACTTAGCAGCAATGCGATCTTATCAATATTTAATTGTAAAATCTAAAGAAACATTATCATAAAATAAAATAAAAACATTAATTGGACACTCATTGTGGGTTTTATTAAAAAGTAACTTCAATTATTTTTATATTATAATATTATTAAAAATCTTACTTGTTTAACACCAGTTTTCTGTATGACTTCTTTGGTATAAATTTCTATTGCTCCATTGTCATCAATGGTTAAACAATTTATAAGCACTTCCTGAGTTTCGTCCCTGTAAATAGCAAAGCAAGTGTTCTCCGCCAGTGAGAGTGAGACTAAAGATTGTTTATTTTGCTTTAATAATTCCGTAAAATTATTCGATATTTTTATTTCTTTAATATTTTCATTTTGCACATAATCATGCATGGCAAACAGACAATCAGCGTCATGGAATCCCAAGCTCCACAGTTTATCCAGCTTATCCGCTTGAGGAAAGTCTGACAGCTCTGGAAGCAAATATTTTAAAAATTGTTTGTAGTTTTTGTTTTTAGCGGGACAAAGTGTAAAAAACAATAGAAAATAATTTGAAAGAGAATTGATAAATGACAGCAACAAAACTGATAAGAAAACAAAAACAAAATTGTTTTTATTTTTAAAGAAAATAAAAAAAAAATTTAAATTAAATTTAATAAAAAAGAAAAAATTGTGATAATGAAATTACAGCATTTGAAGAAAACAAATTATATTTTATTTTTGCTGCATATTTTGTTTTTGTGTTTGCAACAAATTCGAGCAGAACAAAAATTGCCGCTGGTAATAAATACATGGGCATTCGAGGAAGCTAATATTGCTGCTTGGGAAGCTTTACAAAATACAGGCAGACCAATTGATGCGGTCATTGCTGGTTGTGGAAAATGTGAAGAATTACAATGTCATGGCACTGTTGGTTATGGAGGCTCTCCAGATGAGAATGGTGAGACCACACTTGATGCAATGCTAATGGATGGCGAAACAATGAATATAGGTGCTGTAGCTGGTTTACGTCAAATAAAAAATGCTATTGGTGTGGCAAGAAACGTCTTGGAAAATACTCGTCACACTTTACTTGTCGGTGATTCAGCTAGCAATTTTGCTGAGATGATGGGTTTTCAACGTGAATCTTTGACAACACCAAACTCTAAAGCTATTTGGGAGGAATGGCGTAAGTCTAAATGTCAACCGAATTTTTGGCAAAATGTGCGACCAAATCCCAGTAAACAATGTGGTCCATATAAACCGCTACCTCTGATATTGGGAAATTTACATGATAGCCAGCGTTATGATTTGGAATTTGGTCCTTGGAATCATGATACGATTGGTATGATTGCTATAAATACTGAAGGCTCTATATATGCTGGTACTTCCACAAATGGTGCACGACATAAAATACCTGGTCGTGTAGGAGATTCTCCTATACCAGGTGCTGGTGCCTACGCTGATAATGAAGTAGGTGCTGCTGTTGCTACTGGCGACGGTGATGTGATGATGCGTTTTTTGCCCGCATTAATAGCTGTGGAGGGGCTTCGTATGGGTCGTAGTCCAGCTGAAGCGGCACAAAATGCAATTAATCGTATAGTACGTTACTATCCAGAATTTAGTGGTGCATTAGTAGTTACTGATCGTTATGGAAATTATTCTGCCGCATGTATGGGTATGGAAAAGTTTCCCTTTTCAATTGCAAATGGGGCACGAAATACTAGAGTGGAGTATAAAATATGTGCTGAAGAAACAATATATAGGAAGCATGAATTAAAGTGAGAATAATTAAGTTTTGAGTTATTACTGTTTATAATTTAATAAAATAAATATAATTTTACTTAAGAGCAATCAAATCTTGTATAGTTACTATAATCCAAACTGTGCATGATTTAGTTTCGTGTCATTTTTATGTATTAATTTAATTGTGGTTTAGAGGAATAATCTAACAGACAAGTTAAAGTATAATCTTATAATATAATAAGATTATACTTATATATTTATATTATGGCTTTGTAACCATGTTATGGTTATGAGGCCGTGACAGTGACAAGGCTACAGAGCTGGAGTTTTGAGCACAGAGAAAAAAATATACAGTATAATTACCCAATTATATTCTAACCCATGTATTGGTATTTGTAATTCCTTTCATGTTATTTGCCATATAGATCATGCAGATATAAATCCGCGGTTTATCACAACAATAAATTTAAAATTAATAGTTGAATTAACCTTTTCGAGAACCAATTTTCTATAGTACGCAATTCAGAGTAACTTTTTCAGTTGCCCTATATGTCGATTTCATTTGGGTCTCGAGATTCCGCGCTTTAAAGTTATAAACATTTAACATTAATAACACGAACAACTAAACGCAACATTTAGAGGCAACTAACATATAATTTCTGTTTTACACGTAAAAATATACAACTAAAGCCCGAAATAGGAAACGATATCGTCATATAACGTAGTTAAAAAAGTTACTCAGAATGGCATTTTTCTCCGAAATAGATATTCAAGTTAAACTTTTCAATTTATTATACACAAATTTATTCAGTTTTTACATAAATAAATTTTATAACAGATCTTGTTTAATTTCACTATTCTGAGCAACTTTATCTATTACGCTATATAGATTGATTGGCGATATACAGGGACTGAAAGTAATATATTTTTGCAACTTTTAGTTTTTTAGTATGTGGAAAGCATCGAAAGCCACAATGTGCGACTTGCATTTGTAATAAAACCACTGCTTAGGAAAGCAAAATTGATCAAATTTCAGATATTGGACCGTAATGGTGACCATACAGCTGTTTTTACTATTGCCAAATACCCATCATCAGTGGTCATGGAAATAATTCTTGTATTTAATTATTCGTAAATAATTTCTTGACACTACAAGTATCAGGAATCGAACTCGTGTCCTGCCAAATTTGAAGCTCAGAGTCAGCGCTCTCTTCTGAAGTTAATTTGCTATAAAAGTTCATTAACAAATTTACTTGCTGTGTTATATTAGAAGGAAATCATAAACTAGCTCTATGTTAGAATAATTGAATTAAAAATATTTTTTAATTTTTAACTGTTAAATTTCAATACTATTGTTTGCAGAGGCATTATTTATATATTCTTTCCTTTGAAATTTAATAACAAATCTGAAATTGGTCCACAGTCAAACCATGTTTAATACAAGATTCGGTAATAACAAATTTAATATTGTGATCTATTTATAACATCATTGCATTCATTACGATATATATCATAATAAATATATTTTTTTATAATAAATATTATATATTATGATAAAACTTCAGTTACACCGTTCAAAAAGAAAACGCATATCCTAACATATCTCAACCCTAAGTAGTATTATCAGTTTGCCTTATTTTAATAATTTTTTAAAATATATCAAAGTGTGAATCATTAATTAGATTTTTTAATATTTTATTACTCTAAAGATAATGGTCATTTTTACATGTGCAATGTTTCAGGGAATTGAATGAATTTTTCTTGATGTATTTTTACCTAAAGATATATATTTATTTCTGGTTTATTTTCATTATTTATATATAGATTTTTTAATTTTGAAATTGCATTAAATTTTTATTTTTAATATTTAATTTCTGTTACAATTTTCCCTCCAAAACTTTTGCTATTTCCTTTTATATAATATTCGTATGAGTGCAATGAATATATATCAATGTTTATCAAATGTTAATTATGTTGTTTCTGTTTATCTTTTGTGTTTCATTCTCAACATTCCGCGCGTCTGCATATACAAAAAGGCAATTCGAATGAATGTAAGAATTAACATTGCAAAGAAGAGTGGAAAGCGATTTGCGGAGTTTAACAATTCTTTTTAAAAAAGTTAGACTTTATTATTTTAATAAGTTCATTCAAAATTGTATAAATTTATTAGTTTATGTTAATTAATTAAAATTTTATTAAAATGCCAATACAACTTGACGTAATTCTAAAAGACATCTCGGAAGAAAAAGTTCTTCATCCAAATTATCCTACCCCTAGTAAAAAAGAAGTTGATGACGCTTGGGCGCGTGTTAGCAAAAAAAATGTTTTATCAGGTATATTTGCGATACTAAAATAAAACCCAATACGTAATATGATCGTATTTGACAAGTTTTTATATTATAAATAGTTTAATGTAGAAAGCATTAAATGGCGTTGCTTAATAATGTAAATATTAGAAAATAGATTTATGGAGTCTGTTTGAAATTACACAAAAAAACATTCCGTTAAAATTTAATTTTACATAAAACAATAATTTTTCTATTGATTATTGAATTAATTTTAATTTTATATATTTTTTATAGTACACGAAGCACGATCAATTTTTAAGGTTTTACAAAGGAAATATGAACAGGAAAGAGTCAAACCAACATCATCATGGAAATTATTTAAGATTATGGAAATCATACACACCAAAATTGAAGAAAAACCAGAAGAAAAACACGATGAGTAAGTTATGTTAAGTAAAGCAATTGTTAATTGTAAAGTAAGAAAGTAAGTAAGTAAATTAAGAATTCCTTGAAGAAAATCTCAGGGTTAAGCGATTACTACATTAGATTAGATATACTTATCTTCCAAAATTTTTTTTATTATAAAGTAGCCTCCTTGTAAGTTTGGCTTGAGTAGTAAACTGTACTCTGGCACTAGTAATCTTGACACGAAAAGTGAACGACGGTGGATCGTCTGTGTTGACAAGTGGCCCCAAAAACAGATCCGGTTACTTCTGTTACCATGTAGTTTTGTCTTTTTATTGTGATTACCACACATTTGATATAAATATATTATGATCGATCGTTTAGTATTTATTATGTGCTCACAATAATGTCCTAAGTAGGTCTAAATCGACAGACCCTTCAGTTACACAAAATTTTTTTTTGTTGTATAATTCTGCGTTTTCGAATCCGACAAAAAACAACGCAACCTTATATTATAAATTTATCTCCAATATTCAATTTTAGGGCATTATTTTTTCATATGCCTAATTGATTAAATTAATATTCCATTGGGTCATTTGTATGGCATCCTTTTTTAAATTAATTCTAATACTTTCTTAATGAGACCACTTAACAATAAAGTTGTCTTCAAGTTTTAGATTAGATAAAGTTAGATAATGTGACAGTCGGTTAATTAATTAATTAATATTCCATTGAGTAATTTGTATGGCATCCTTTTTTAAATAAATTCTAATACTTTCTTAATGAGACCACTTAACAATAAAGTTGTAAGATTTGGTTTATAAAAGAAGAAAATTCTACAAATATTATATAATATATTATATATGTTATTATGTTATTCATGTTATTGAATAATGACCTTAAGAATGAATTGTTTATAGATACTTGAATCATTTAAAAAAAATCAATTAATTATTGTTTCTTTCATATAATAGAGATCCAGGCACAGCTACAGAAGAGGACGAAGAATACGAAATGCTTGAAGTTCAAGAAGACGAAGAACAACCTGTAAATACATCACATAATACTGGTTCTAGTTCAGATAATGAAACGTCAAAGCATAAAGTAAATGATGGCAATAAATCCCCTGAGAAAGATGAAAAGCCACAAAGGAAATCTTCATCTTACACAACTAAATCGTTTTCTGTTACAAGTGCTCCAGCCAGCTCAAGCAATACAAATACAATATCTCAAACTGAAGAGAAAAAACTTTTAAATATAATGGCTTCATCGTCACCACGTCCTCCACTGTCACAAACAACAAATGTTACCGTAGCGGCCTTAAATAAAAAAGGTATAACCATGAAGAAAACTTCCGTAAGCTCTGCAGCTATATCAAAAGCCCAAACAACAACAACTGGTGTGCAAGTTAAAAATTCATCCGGTAGTTTACCATTTATAACATTACAAATTTTATTTGTTTATGTAATATTTACTCTTATTTTGTAGGCCGAATGGGTTTGCTTGAAGTTGGCAAGACGATTCAAATGCCAGAATCGTTAAAACGTAAATTATCACAAGAGCAGAATGCCATACAAGTGAAGAAGTTAAATCTAAATACAACGCAATCCACAAACATATCCCCATCATCCAAAACTGCGTCGCAAGCAACAAACCCGATAACATCGCAATATGTTCAAGTGAAACAGGAGCGTGAGGATACCGAACCACATAATATTAACCTTATAACTATACCAGCTAATCCATCACGTAATGATATTACGAATGGCTTGGTATCAGGTAATACACCCTGTTCATCAACTGCTGCTACAGTTGCAACATCAAGCAATGGATTTTCTTCACACTTAGAGGATATTGATTATAAAAATGATATTATATTTGATGTTGGTTCAGGTATAAATACAACTAATTTGACAAAAATAAATACAGCAAATCCTGCAGCTGAAATAATCAACTTTGGCAATTTTGACAATTCATTGCCGCCGACATTCTTTAAGAATCTCTGCAATTCATCACGGCACGAGGCTTTAGGATTGTATTTGGCCAATATTATGAACCGTATATCTGAACGTGCTGCTGCTAAATTGGAATTGGCAGTTTTGCGTTCAATCATTGATATACAAAGTGAGGAATTAGAGCAGTAAATTTTTATCCACATAAATTTATCTATTTATAAAAAAATTTATACTGTAACACGATTCAGTATAAAGCACATAAGCCGTACTCGTTTCATATTATTTGTAGCATTAACTTTTTGTTTTTAAGCATGAGCATCATGCGTTATGTTAAACATTTCCGTAACTATACATAAATTATACTTTTTTTTTTATTAATATAAATACAAAACTAGTATTGATTAATTGATTTTAAATAAAATTGAGATAAATTTATATACCGCTTATACATTAAATTAATGTGCATAGTTTAATCTAGACTCTAACTATAGGTGGACTAAGTAGGAGCTTACTAAGCTTTTAAGTTACTAAAACAACTTTCAAGAATCGTTGTGACACCATGGATGATGTGGTGTAAACCAGACCTGAAGAACTGCCTTAAAAGTAGAAGTCTGAAGCAGTTAGAGCGTATGAAGTACATCCCGTTGGTAAGGTGCTGCTATATCTCTAACTTTAAAAGTTCACAAATCTATCAGGTCATTTAGAAAAGGGGTGAGCATCAGAGATTTTAAACTTTCATATATCATCTAGCGTATGCATTACATCTCATTGGTAAGGCGCGGTCACACAATTTAATAAAGTAAAAGGAAACCATTCCGACAAGTCCATACGGCTATATCTTTAACTTTATAAGATGATAAGTCTGTCAGATCATTTAGAAAGGGAGCATCAAAGATTTAAAATAGTTCAATGATGAGCACTAACACGTAAAGTGACGTTCAGTTTCCATCTCATCTGCGGAGTCACAACCCCGACAATAAGCGTTATAAGAAAGACTAAGTCTTATTTTATGTCTTCGTTATATATCTGTACTGAGTTGGTTCCACTTTACTTGAAGCAGCTGACTGGTGTGAATTTTGACCAAGGAAGTTCTGTGATCTGAACAAACTTTCTCTTCCAGGGCTGTCACTGTTAACCCCAAGTATTTATAATTAGTCGCTGGTTTACCTATTGCAAAAATAATACTTATATCCGAAAAGTCAATACCAGAGCGCAACGTGACTGCTTCAGTACGTTTGTTTCCATAATAGTTATACAAATTGCTTCTGTGAACAGAAATCAATATAATTTGAGTACCTACCACTCTAGTTAATTCGTTGAGAGAAGCACGGTATTTGCAAACCATAAAAAAAATAGCTGTAAAGCACACTTGATGTATAATTGTAGCTGGGCTGTCCTAGAAAATTGCGAATCTTAATCTTATTTCTTTATGTTAGTTGCTGGCAGGCAAAGACACTTCGGCCAATTGTGGTAAGGTTCCTGACCCTCGATTTAGGTTCCTCAATATATCTCTGTATATATTTTTTTCAATTCTGACCTTTTCTTATTTTCTTTCCCCAATATAATTGGCCTTTGTTCTTTTTTCCCCTCGACATAGTAAGTCAACTGACGGTATGATATCTTCTCCCCGGAGCAGGTGGGGGATACCAAAACTTATAACAATACGATATAATAAACATACATTTTTACTTTTACTTACGATTTTCGTGTATAAACTTTTGGAATTCTGCATTCCAGCGATAAAATTGCATAGCACTTTTATTATTTTGACTGCCAACAGCTATAACATGTGTTAGAGATTCATTATATTGTAGAGTAATTGGAATAATTGTAGTAGCGTTGCTTGACCATAAAACTTGTCGAAGTTTGAAATGATGGAAGGCATTATATTGAACTGTAAATAAAACAAAACAGGGATTTTTTTATTTTTGTAGATTAAATTGCTCTAACTGATAAAAGCGTTGAAAGAATGCGCGCATGAAGTTTAAGAGTGTAAATCAGAGAAAATTTTCTTTGGTGTGAACGCATAGCAAAATTGACATAATTTCTAAGAACACAAAAAATGAGAGCAGCAAAGAATAAATATTTTTACACTTACACAAAAAAATTGTGATTCAAAAGCTTTACAAAATTTGTAATGCAAAGAAAGCGATTTGAAAATGTTGCAGTCGTTATATTCTGTTTAGGCCGTGAGAGTTAAAATTATATAATATATCGCTTATATAGTTTACTTTAGTATCATACATTAATTCGATTTAAAATGAATTGTGTATATTAATTTCAAATTAAGCTCAAATTGTTTATTATAATACACAACTTAGGATTTTAGTTATCTTTCAAAAACGCTAAGTTCTTACCTATTATAGTTTGTTTTAATTTGTTTATATGTTTTTCGATAATAGTTAAATTATCACATATAAAATTGTTTTGGAAATTTTTATTTGGGTTTTCAATATCACGTTTCCACTTTGCTAGTTTTAGAAAATCTTCCTCAACATTGTATGATTCATTTACATCCATATTATGCTTTATGTTCCCTTTGTCTGTATTTCTAACGCCTTCAATTATATAATCGCCTTCTATTTTTATAGAATCAGCAATCCAATTTGCAATATTTACATCATTAATTGTACTTGTAGGACTAATATAAATGTTTTCAATAATTATGGATTCCGTATGTTTTGGTGCCACAACAATATTTATAGGTTCATCATGTCGTACAACATCATCAATTAAATTCAAATTGTTTATTTCAACATTATTTAAATTACCGAGTACATTTACTTCTTTTATTTTCCATTCACCGCTTATATAGTGTGGACCAGTAGTTTTCACTGCATTTGAGACTAATTCATTAAAATCAAATTGCGTTTGACTAAAATACAGTAAAAAATACATATTAAATTAAATTTGTATGTAAGGTCCTCATTAAATTTTTTAGAATTTTTATATTAGTTAAATAAGTACTTAAACTAAACAATATTATTAGATGCATAGTGTAAATGCGCAATTATAAAATTATGAATTTCATAAATATTAAGTCTGTTTAATTATATATGGCAACTCCAACAACGGCTGACATTTAAGTGACATGTTTTTATTGTTACAAAGAAGTGAAGTAATGTGGCTGCAGTAATAAATAAATTTACTTGCAATATACAAAATGTAGATGACTTTAAAATACTTATTCTAAATTTAATATAAAATTTTTAACTTTTTCGAAATCGATACAGGTAAGAATTTTTATTTTATTGCTGAAAGTAATGACCTCCGTTTGCGCCAAGTCAGCTGTATTTTTTTTTGCATTAGTAATGTTTACAATACATCTCAAACTGTTCAAGGTTTAATAAAATAGAGATTTGAATATCATTTCAGAATTGTTATATATTTTATAATTAAAATAATAAATATATAATCAATTTAATGTAAGAATGTTATGATGTTAAAAAAATATCTTCGTTATTGTAATAAGAAGCAAGTTTTGATAATTTAATATTTAAATTTAATCATTTAATAAAGTTTAATAATTAGAATATAATTAAAATTTTTTTTCTATTTCAGTTCAGTGGAGTTTTTATTTTTGAAGTTATATATAAAACAAAACTATAAAGGAAAAATATTTTAAACGTAAGTAATAGACATAAATAAATTAAAATTATAAAAAAGTTAATACCATATAAATTTTTTACAGTATTGTTATACGATCTTACTAAATAAATTCTTTATTTTTTCGTGAAAATATTTTTGTAAGGAATTTTTTTTTTGTTTGAGATATCAAAAATTAGGACTTCCTTGCCTATATTTACAGAATTTACCACGTATTGTATTTTATTATAACATGGAACCTGTATAGTTGCTTCATCCGTCAAAACCCTAACCAATAACAGTAACAAATGTACAGTAACAAATGTATGGTACACGGATGGTATCCGTAATAAGTCAATTTGAAAGCCTAGCTTTAGATTATGTGCCACAATAATCGCACCTTGTCAAGTGTTACTGAAGGCAGAAGATCATATTAAACGCGAATTGACAAGACAAATCAGATAAAACTGTAATATACTTAGCACTATCTAATCTCAGAGTAACCACTAAGCGCACGGGGCGATACGCAGATCTTAGATCAGTCATTGAATAATCACGAACCTTATGAGGAATACATAAATTAGTCAGTGAGATGAGTGGGATTGTGCAGAAACCCCACAGCTATCAAAGAGTAAAAGTGCCCAGATGCACTAACTCGGAAAAGGTTCAACATAACAATACCATAGAAACTAATAATCCCGTTTACAGTTTAACATACGTAACATATTCACTTTTTACAATCAGAAGATTTAGAGAGTAATTAATTTATAACACCATTTAGAAATGTTCATTTCAAGTAGAATTCTTATAGAATGATAAAAAAACTTGGAATCTGTTATTGCTTGTATTCATTATAGCTAACAAAAGTTCTTTTAATTTATAACTGCATCAACTCAACACAGTGAGTTGACCAAATCCATAAGTTTTTGACAGAAACTATTGTTTTCTTTAAATTTTTGTTGCAAATAAATTAGATATTAAACTAATAGTATTATGCTGAAGGCGGGTGGTTAACAGCGACAGAGTGTTTGTGTTAGGAACGTAACTGAATTAAACTTTGATAAAATAGGAGGCTATATATTATTAGTTGGGGCAAGTGGTGACGTTGATTGTGATTTCAATTAGCTCTTTCATACGAGGTCGATAGTACATCTTCTTAATCAACCGTCTAATTCGTTGTTTGTGTAGGCAATTAAACAGTACATGTGGTTTAAGAATCTTTATGGGTCGTTACTGTTCGAGAAGGGTGGTCAGTTAAGCTTCTCTTCTGACTACCAGGACAAGCACAGAGGAAATAGGAAAGAGTTCCATTTACTTCTGACTGGTTGCAGCTGTGATAATAAATGTTACAAAAAATTTCTATTTTCGCCACTTACTCACCAATAGCATAGTAATAACTAATGACTGCTTCAGTCTAGAGACATTATTTTTATTCCTGTTTATTAGAGATAATGTACCTTTTAATATGTATTCAAGTTTAATATTGTAATCTTTTTACACGTTCCAAGGCTTTAAAAACAGTTATTTATTCGAACTTGATTTTAGAATCATTTAGGGACATGAAAACCGGTTCTGCAAAAGCCTTTCGCATGATAGGTTATTTCCTTGTCTATTCATCAGCTTTTCTTTTTACCTTAATATTCTGTTTACAGCCTTTTTCGTTTGCCCCAATATTCTGATGTACCGGATCTACGATAAGAAGATCAACCGCAGAAGTATTGGTTAGACTCTTTGTTCTGTTTTGTTCAGACCATTCGATAATATAAAAAATTGTTTTAATATGTATAGCCAACTATTAATATTCTATTTGACTTTATAAATGCGAACACTTTCGTTTGCAAAATTCAAAATGAGTTGGGGGACACGTACAGAGTTTTTCATGTTTAGTGTCTCGTAATAGGCTATATATTCTATTAATTTTACAGATAATAAAGAATCATTTTGGGATTAGATATAGAAATTGGATTTGATTGGATTTGGGAAAGCATGTAGCAAATAAATCTACAGATCTAGATAAAGTTAAATTGGAGTGACAGCATGCATCAAAGCTCGCTAAGACATCAATGACCTGTACCACGAATTTGTAAACTTATAGAATCAAAAAGTATATTAACTTATTTTAAAAAAATTTACTATTTATGCTCTATCATAGCAGATTATTATGCAGCTACACTTACCTTTCAGTGTCAGTAATTAATCCATATACTTGTAGTTCATCAGCTTCCAAAACATCCTCAAAAATGACATCATTATTAAAGATGAATTTTGTCGTTATTTCTTGCGGTTTACTTAAACTGAAATAGTTGTCTTTCAGCCAGTTCAGATTAATATTATTTAAAGTACCCTTTAAAAAAAATATTTATTTCATAATTATATTTTTTTATATGTATATATTGTAAATAAACCTTAAAGTCCAATAAACCCTCAAAGACGGCATGTTCAATAACTACGCGTTGCTTTAATTCGACATCATCATTGAGCTGCCAAACTGTATCTAAGAGCTCTTCGATATCGTGACCATTTAGTGTTTGATAGTATGGTGCATATGTGAATGTAGCGTTTTCCACATGTAAAGTTTCATAACTTTCATCATCAAGAAAACGTTCTAGTGCAGGTATATCTATATCATTTATTATAGTGGTGTTATAGATTTTTCCCTTAACTAAAAGATTCTTCTCTATAACAATAGGCTCACGTAGTATTTGTGGACTTTGCGAATGACGAAAGAGTATATCATCTGGTACACGTAAGCCATTCATGGTCTGTGTGTATAATGCACCAGCTATTTGTACTGGTTCAACTAAATGTGTTGAAGGAAAAAGAGATATAAGCGTGCGTTCTAAATATTGAAATAGAACTTACGAAATACGACATCATTTATATGCTCAGTTCGATTAATCCAATAAGTGTTTTTTATGAAATCATCAATTTTATAACCATTTAATTTCCCAGACAGAAGTACACCTTTCATAGCAGTTACTCCAGCAAATGTTTGTGGTGCTGTAAAAGTTTGATCACCATATTTCTGCAACCAACAGCGGCCGAAGTCGGCGGCGGATATGTCATTTAACTTGCCATAGAAACTTAAATTCCGGACTTTCATGTTATGATTGAATCTATAATTACCGACGTATTTAATGTTGCCATAAAGTTGCGCCAATTTGCGTTCGATTTCGCTTACTGGCATGCCGTTAATGGAAGTGTTGAGCTTTAGATTTTTGACATATATGGTACCAGGGAATTTTTGTTTATTTTGTAAAATGTCGGCAATTGGTAATTGCTTTGCTTTTTGCTGAAATAGGCGAGATAAGGATTCGTTAAAAATATTTCCATTTCCGTCCAAATTTTCTGTTTTCACAATTTTTGCATGTAAATATTTAGCAGTTAATTCGCCATTGATGTGTTGATCGCCGGATTTAGTTAGAAATGTTGCTAAGTCCTTGTCACCGAGAGTAATTTTATCAGCAATAATACTTTAATGAAAATAATTGAAGATAACACATTTGAAATAGTTATTAATAGTTCCTAATTGCTTACCCTTGTGCTATTACTTTGCTAAAATGCATGGGAACCTTGATAGTCTGGTTAGTATTCTTTAGTAGCAGTTCGTGTTCTAATTCCTGTACATTTATACCATTAAGATATTTTAAATCGGTAAAACCTCGAATGTCTAAAGAATTATTAAACATTTTTTCTCCAGTTACCAATTGCACTTCATCTGTATTTATTTTTACTAAATCCTGTAGATCTTGGCCATTAACAAAGCTTACAATGGAATTATTTGCGATAATGGGTTGTTCAAATTTTATATTCACATTCTCCAAATTATCCACACGTATACCATTTTTCATTATTTTTTTAGTTGAGTGTTTAGTTGTATTTCCAAAAATAATATCAGTCACATTTAATAGTTTAGAAATGTTTACATCCCCGATTATTGTATAATTACCCGTTAGTGTTAATTCTTCATCTATGGTTTTAGTTGGTGATATTGATTCGAAATATGGGCCCTCCATTTTTCCCTATATAAAAGTAATTATTAATAAACAATATAAAACTATTTACGTACATTGGTAAATAAAATCGGAATATCCATAACAAACCTTATGAACTAATATTCAAACCAAACTTATTACACGGGTGCAGAGCAACAAAATAAACTATAAAACCTTAAGATATTTCATAACTCTGCATGGATTATACTCTTTTTAGTAGTTAAGAAATGAAGATACCTATATATAAAAGTCTAAGAGCCATGTTATGCAGACAGTCATGGTCAGGTCAAACATAAAACTGAAATTTTTATTGTAAATTAAAAGATTGAGGATATGAAAAAGAGAGGAAAATTCGATTAAAATGTTGTCACGGTAACGAGACGTTATGTGTCGCGTCATGTTGGTCCAACACTGATGCACATTAATAAATGTCAAAATTGCCTCTATTAGGATTAAATATATGTTATTGTAACCCGCCGGAATCTGCTTGTGTGATTACTTTGGGGGATATTGAACGGTATTCGTAGTCTGGATCGACGAGTGGTTCCGAGACGTAAACCCGGTCGTTCTTGGCACCAGTAAATATTTATCTTTTTGCGTCGATATGTAAGTAACTAACTTTTAAATTTAAGCACCCACATAAAACATACCAATATAGAGGTAAAGGTAGGAAATTGACAATCGTGATATGACTCTTCGTAAAACATGTCTTTTGATCATGACCAAAAAGAGCCAAAAATTTCAGTCCCTATTCATAATTTTATTGTATGTTTCTCTTTTAAGTAGCCCTGCTCAAATTATTCATAGATATTTTGTCTGTATATTGGTGAACAGAATCGAGAGTATGAAAAAACACTGTAACCAAAGCAAAAATTTATTCGAAACGATTCAGTCTTCGTTTACTCGGGGAGGTATAATACCTTTGGAGATTGTTTCTGATTACATTTGCTCTTATTCCTTCTTTAGTATGTAATAGGAGATAATTTTGCATTAAACGACCTATTCCCCACGTTAATCAATATCAACTTAAATAAAACGTTGTACATATTATCTGTTTAAAATACAAGCATTAGCGTCACAGGTGTACCACATTTTTGGAAGTTCTGGTCTAAAATTACATGTGATTTTATACAACAGTAACTTAAAAGAACTGCAATTAGTCAGTACGAATTCGGTCCCAATTAATACGTTCATGGACCTGGTCATATTCTAAGAAGCGGAACTTGTTTGGATGTTTTACATTTTGTGAGTAGCAGAAAACGGAGATATAGTAGATATAGTACCGGATGCTCGTATAATAAGTACATATATTTATCTATATAGAATTATACTTACTGATATTATAATAGATTCCAAAACTTTGATATCTTTAAATGTTTTTAGCCCTTCCACAATTTGTGTTTCATTAGATTTTTTCAATAGCACATCGAATTTATTTTTATATACATGTATATTGTTTAGACGTTCATTAATTATCACATTTTTTGCAGATATCGGTGCAGCAAATTCTATATCCTGATTAATCACATAATTGCCTTCTTTAATTGATACCAATTTTCTCAAATTGTGGTCATTAACGTGATTGTTTATAACCTCAACATTTTTAGTCACCAGTGTGCCTATTGTAGCGGGTCCTTTTATGATCTGTGCGCCAGTACGTTTTAAGGTATTGTTTACTATATCTTCCCAAGAATATTCATTCAAATTTCCGCTTATTTGCAGTTCATCCACATTTATTTCATCGAACTCATCATCGTTTAAACTAGTAAGTTTGTCTGTATTCATAGTAAGCTTATCATCATCATAATTTGGGGTCTTAATTTTACCAGTCACATATGTCTCGTTAGCAGTTATAGATTCAAATATTGGATTCGCTACCTCTATGCCATTAATGTTTTTGGATGTAATCTTATTTTGTACTATAAGGGTTTTCACATATACATTATCAAGATTAACTATTTCTTCAGATTTTTCCGGATTTTCTGTGTGTACTTCACGTTTTCGTTGTTGTTTGGGTTCTAATTGAGATGCTAGTGTATTTAATGCTTGATTTGCATAACTGAGTGCTTTCAAATAATTTTTATTTATACCCAATGGAGGATAAGAAAGCTTGAAAATAATTAAAATAAAACTTATATTGAGAAATTTTTAATATTAGATCAAATTATTTTAATGAATTATATTACTAAAGCAGTAAGGAATTTGTTGTTGAATTTTACATTTTTTTAATTTTTAAAATAAATGTTACATACCGTTTTAGTCTCCACGGTGTTTATATTGGCCTGTTTTATATCGTCTACATTCATTTTCAATCGACCTATTATCTTCAGTTTTTCCTACAAATGATATTGATAATCTTTATTTATTAATCCTTTATATATTTTCCTTTTTTTTTTTTAAATACATTATATTGGACCATAAGTAGAATATATATATCATAGAATTTTCTTCATGGAGTTTATAAATGATTGTACGTTCTCCATATATCTTAGTTATTTTCTAAAAAAAATTTGTAATTGTTAATTGTTTACGTTTTCTCTTTTGGTAAGAGCCTTAAGTATTGATCAGACTATTTGAAGCTTCATTTTGATTCTTGCTTAAAAATCATATGGAGAATTGCTGCTATACTTATTAGTATAGAAGAATACGAAAAAATGAAAAATAGAGCATATCGGTTGCTCGAGAAAATTTCGAAAATTTAAAGTTTTTGATGCAAATATTCCAATTCCAATCCGATTAAATTTAACTAGCTCGAACATTGTTGAACTTGATCGAAAAGTTTAATAGAAAGCATTAATAGAACTAACAATAGTGCGGTCTTATATATAATAATAATAAGATGTGTATCTGGTGTAGTGAGAGGAGGAACAATAAACAAAACAGTTTAGATATTCTATTTATGAGAAATATATATGTTATGTAGAGAAAGTAAAAGATATTAGATGAGAGAATTAGATAAGAGAAGTTAGAAAGATATTAGTTTAGGCTCAGACATATATCAGCCTTATATCATGAAGTTTAAATATACTTTAAATAATTGGTAATATTAAATTTTATAGCTAAACTTACTTCTGCATCTTGTTTTAGTTTTTCAACATCGATACTTTGCAAACGTTCGAAAGTATTTTTTGCCCAATCAATAATTTCCTGCCTTAAAGTGTTCGCATGTTCCTCTTGCTTAAAAATAGGTTTGAATATATTTGTTTCATTGGCAGCCATAAGCTCATTTGCTATAACTAAATTAATTAAAATCAAAATTATTAACTCTTTTGAAGTTTTTGACACTATAATAATATATTACCCAAATAACTATCTCCATTCTCTATAAAGACACGCATCTGTGAAACGCCTTTGCCTAAAGCACCTTCTGTATATTGTGTATCTGATTCTTCAAACTTCCAATCGTTAAAATTGAATATTTTGGTGTCTTGATTACTAGAAGCTACCAACAACAAGAATTTTTCCTCATCAGAGTTCTAAAGATATATAGAATATATATTCATCGGATTAATTTCAAGACATTTAAAATTCAGATATTTGCATTCTACCTGCATTGGTAAAAATTTTTCCACTGCATAAAATAATAACTGCTGATATGGTATAAATTGTCCTTTATCTAAAACATAGAATATGGAATTTGCTTCAAAATCTTTCTCACCGCCCTTAGTTTGTGTAGCACCTATGGAATTACCAAAAACCAAAAAATGCTGATTTTTCACCTCGTTTATAGGCACACTAAAGTATTTGACATCGACAGCACCATTTGTTTTTATTTTTTGAAATAGTTCGAATTTTCGTTTTTCGCGTGAAAATTTATAAATTTCGGAATATGTTTTTGTTTTGCCATGTTGGTTCGCGTAATTAGCTACAGCGACATAACTTTCATAATCAATTGAAAATGGTTCAAGATGACGTGCATTACTGCATGGTATGCGACCCATTTTATTAAATGTAGTTCCAGACCATTTATAATATGGACAATTCTGATTAGGTGCCGTATTGGAATTTTCAAATGATTGTAGTAAAAATAGTTCATTTCCAGTTGTACGTAAATATATATTGACTAGATTGGGTGTAGCAAAATATTGAACAGCACGCATACGATTGCCACTAATTTGATATATTGGTGATGCGTCCCTAGCATATTCAACTGATTTCGTTATGTTGAATGCCAGTGCTACATATGCTTTATCATCAAAAGTTTTGCAATCCATTGCTATAGCCAGCGGTGTTGACAAATCCACTATTTTTGTATAGCTGCCATTCTATAAGATTGGAACATTATATTTGGAATAAAAGTTTTTGTTACCCGTGCAGTTCCCCCGTTCTTGTGGAAGTCTGTTTGATTTGCTTCCTTAAAAACGATGGAAATTGTACAGAATTTATCAGTATTACTTTGTCGTAAATGACGACTAAAAGTAGATCCAGTTCTAATATCACAATCTCTTTACTTTGCTAGTTACTACTTTTGGATGGTACTTACGTTCATACGAAAAACGACAAAATTTCGTACACCTTTGGCAATTTGTAGGGCAGCTGCATACTTAGTATCTTCTATTTTCATAATACATATGTCTAAAGGGAACATTACTGGTACAGATTCTACTTTTTCAAAGCCATTAAAAGAAAAAGCAGCTAATGAGAATAAAAATTTTTTAAGTAATATTAAATAAGTATTTTTGAAAAATTATTAAAAACTTTTAATTCATTATTATCTAAATACATACATACAGATATACATGTACACATATAACTTCGAGTTGTACGAATAATTTCAAGTTGTTCGAATAACTATGAGTTGTTCGAATAACTTTGATTTGTTCGAATAACTTCGATATGTTCGAATAACTTTGATATGTTCGAATAACTTTGATTTGTTCGAATAACTTCAATTTATTCGAATAACTTCGATATGTTCGAATAACTTCGAGTGGCTCGAATAACATATTAAGTATCTAAAGTTAGTTTATATAAAATTATATATTGAGTTTAAAAAAAATAATGAGGTAAACAAAGTTGAGTTAGATTAATCATTTATTAGTTAGAATATCGATATTGATCAGAAAATAAAAATAAAAAATGTCATTATCAAGAAAATGTTCAAATTATTTGGTTTTTTCTCATCGGCTTACTGCTTGTTTCTAGTGCTTATAATCAGTCTGTTGAGTAATTGTTATGGAAAACTTCTCTAGATTTAATTACATTTGGAAAGATATTTTGATTCAATTATTGAAATAGGAACTTAAAATTAATTTTAATAATACAAC